TTCTTGGAGTTTTTTGTGGGATCTAGACATCAGGAAGGTGATCTACTATTCGGCATCAAAATCAGGAAGAACTGGAGTACGGGGAAGAGTCCCAGAAAAGTTGGACTCTTTGTTTTTKATCYGATCTTGGGCGCCCAGGTATTGTTAGTTTTCTTTTGATTTTCTGAACAGGGCAGTTTGGTTTCTGAAATTTTCTAGGCCTCCTGGAGTGATCAATTCACTTTTCTCTCTGTTGGTAGGCATGGGGAGGAGAGAGATTTCCCTCCAACTAGGGTTTTCTTCTTCCAGAAGGTTTGGTTTTTGTGTGTGTGGTATTAAATTATTTTTTGAAGGTCAACAATCTATTTTTTCTTACTGTTGAACTGTTTGATGTAAAATGGAGAGTTGGAATACCGAGATGAAATCTACCAGTAGTACTATGGGACTGGGTGTTGGAGGTTGTAGTGATATTTTTGGGTCTGGGATCATTATTACAGTAAAACTTGATGTTACAAATTATTTGGAGTGGGCACAATCAGCTAAGATGGCTATTGGTGCCCGTGGAATATTAGGGTATCTCACTAGGGAGAAGAAACTTGATACAGACTCTTCCCGATGAGTGCAAGAGAATTACATGGTAATGTCTTGGCTGTATAATTCTATGTTACCTCATATTGCAAAAAATTTCCTATACGCTAATACTGCTAAGGAGATTTGGGATGGAGTGACTGAAACCTACTCTCAGAAGCAAAATGAAGCCAGAGCCTATCAGTTAAGAAATCAGGTGATAWGTATRAAACRGGGAGAAAAACCTCTTGYTGTGTATTTCTCCATGCTGAAAACCCTATGGCAGGAAATAAATCACTTAGAAATTGTGGTATGGGAAAGTGTAAATGATACAGCAACTTAACACAAACTGGTAGAGAAGAATAGGGTTTTTGAGTTCTTGGCAGGGCTGAACCTTGAATTTGACATTGCTAGGCAACATATTCTCTCTAGGGAGAGTGTGACACTCTCTTAGGCCTATGCTTTTGTCTTTGGAAAGGAAAGTAGGAGGAATGTAATGCTGAGACAGCTTGGGATTGACCAATCGGCTATGGTTGGTACAACAAAACCTAAGCCGAATGGAGACAGGAGGAGTAGTGAGACTAGAAGGGAAGATAAGAAGGACTTGGTGTGTGATTATTGCAAGAGACCTAAGCATACCAGGGACACTTGTTGGAAGCTTCATCCAAATCTTATGCCTGCTCGGATAAGAAACAAGAAGGGAAATGCAAATGTAGCCACTACAGGAGACTCTTCAGCCCCTCTCTCCCAAACTAATTGGGAATCCATTGCAGTAGCAGCAGTGAGAACAGAACTGGAGAGGTTTGGACAACTTATGAGTAAGAAAGATTCACCCAGCTCTAGCCTTCCAGATGGACAGTAGAATGCAGGAGCTAACTACACCACTTCCTTTGCACATACAAGTAGTTCATATGCAACTGCAAATCTTGCATCCACTTCAGGTAAGGAGGGACCTCCCTGGATTATAGACTCAGGAGTATCTGAGCATATGACTAATGCCCCTACCATTTTCAGTTCCTATCAATTGTGCTCTGGCAGAGACAGAGTCTCTATAGCAGATGGTTCACATATGCCCATTGTTGGGAAAGGGACAGTTAGAGTGACCAATGATATAACACTGTCTTTTGTTTTACATGTCCCTAGACTACATACCAACCTACTGTTTGTTAGTTCTTTGACAAAAAATTTGAATTGTTCTGTGACCTTTCTTCGTGGTAATTGTGTTTTGCAAGATCTGGAGTCAAAGAAGATGATTGGGAGTGATCATGAGGTGAATGGAGTCTACCTTCTAGATGAGATTCCGAGACATCAGGGCCATCATGTTAGCAGCAGCAGTAGTAGTGGGTCAGAGTCAAGGAACCGGATTATGCTTTGGCACAATCACTTGGGACATCTTTCTTTTAGTTCTTTGAAATGACTTTTCCCAAAGCTGTTTGAGTCTATTCAATTATCTAGTTTGGAGTGTGAGAGTTGTCAGTTAGGAAAGCATTGTAGACAGTCTTTTAAGCCAAGTAATAAAAGGAATACTTCTGCTTTTAATATTGCTCACACTGAAGTATGGGGGCCATATCAGATCCCTTCCATGGGAGGATTCCATTACTTTCTCTTGTTTGTGGATGATTATACACGATATTTTTGAATATATTTGATGAGATCATGTGATGAGGTTCCTAACTTAGTATGACAAATCCACCAGATGGTTCTCACGCAATTTTGAGTGAGAACTAAGGCTTTTAGATCAAATAATGCCAAAGAGTACTTTGAGAAGGACCGAACCACGTATCTCTTAGAACATGGTGTAGATCATCAGAGCAGTTGTGCATATACACTACAATAGAATGGAGTTGCTAAGAGGAAAAATAGACACATTGTGGAGGTGGGAAGGAATCTTATGGTGTGTGCTTCAGTTCCTGTGCAATTCTAGGGAGATGCAGTTCTTATAGCTGTACATGTGATTAACTGTGTTCCTTCATGGACTTTGGGGTTTAAGGTGCCATTTAGCCTTCTTTTTCCAGATGGAGAGATATTTCATATACCTCTGAGGGTTTTTGGTCGTGTTTCTTTCGTTCACATTCTTGGCCCTTATCGCAAGAAATTGGATTCTAAGGCCAAGAAATGTGTTTTTCTTGGGTATGCTCAGAACCAAAAAGGGTATTGCTGTTATGACCCAGTGTYGAKGAGYAGATTTGTCACTATGGATGTTACCTTTTTTGAATCCACATTCTTCTTCTCGAGTGGTTCTCCTTAGGGGGAGAGTTTTGGGGAGGATAACTCACAATCTGTTCCTCTTCCTGTTTCTGTGGTGCCTCCATCAGCTCAGCCAGCACCTACATTAATTCAGCCACCACCTGCACCATCAGTTCAGCCAGCGCCTGCACCTCCAGTTTCATTACCTGAGCCACTATGGTCAGCCTCACAGCAATGGCTCCACACATCCTCGACCCACAACACTCTCTGTCAGTCCTTCTGAAACTCCAAATTCGGCAGATACAGTTCCAGGTATTCCTCTTGAGCCTGAGTCTGTTATGTTTTCTGATGATAATGTTTATGTCCCTAACACCATTATTGCAGCTGATCCCACTGACCTTAATCTTCCCATTGCACTTCGTAAAGGGAAGAGAAAGTGTACAGCCCACTACATTTCACACCATCTTTCCTATAGTGCCTTATCACCCTCCTACCATGCTTTTCTTTCTTCCCTGGATTCTGTGTCTATGCCCAGGAATGTTACTGAGGCTCTCTCCAAACCTTAGTGGAAAACAACCATGCAAGATGAGATAGATGCTTTGGTCAAAAACCAAACTTGGGAAATAGTTGATCTCCCCCCAAACAAGGAGACAGTCGAATGTCGATGGGTATTCACAGTGAAGTATAAGGCCGATGGCAAAATTAAACTTTGGGATGCCTTCGGGTGATAACTGCACCCAGCCCAAAACAATAATGAATGTGTATCGGACCCCCCCCCGGCCGGTTTTTTAAAACTTTAACTTTGATGGGAGTAGTCGAGGGAATCAGGACAATCGGGGATTGGAGGTGTGTCTAGGGATGAGAATGGGCTGGTTTTAGCCTTGTTTTCAGGCCCAATTGGAGTGGGTGATTCTCTCAGGGCTGAGATTTTTGCAGTTCTGTAAGGAGTCCAAAGAGCTAAGGAGATGAATAATAGAAAACTCATCATTGAAGGGGACTCGGAGGTGGTGGTAGGGTGGCTGAACAAAGAAAATAGCAGTTTATGGATGTACAGTAATGAGAGGAGGAAACTTAGATGGCTTGTTCAAGAGATGGAAATTAAGATCTGCTGGGTGAAAAGGTCAGCTAACTCCTTTGCTGATGGGTTAGCTAAGCAAGGAGTTAAAAGGGAGTTAATGTTTTGGGCACAAGTGTAATTTTTCCGTTTTTGTTCTTGAGAGCTCAAGCTCCAGCTAGAAGATAAGAAAGTTTATCTTCATCCTTGTAATATTTTTTTGATTAATTAATGAAATGTAGTTATTGATCAAAAAAATAACATATGACTTGGGTTATAGTTTGAAAAATGCTTAGATTTGTCTATCAGCGACAGGAATGTTGATTAGCAGTTTGTATATTAGTAGGTGAAAATGGGTTCAGTTTGAGTTTGTGAAATCAACAATAGAAAAATTTACAGGAGAAAAGATACCAAGGACAGAGAAAAGTTTGGGTATAGGAGATAACCAACATACCACATATGCACGGCGGATCTCCTTTTCGTTTTCATACTCAACAAAAGCATAACCACATGATGCACCAGTTACTGCAGATAAGTTACCAAAGAACTATGAACAGCAGATCTTCACACATAAACAAATCCATAAAGAGAACTTGCAACTAAATTCAATAAATAAAGAACATCAGTAGGATTTACCAACACTACAAAACTTTCCTTGAAGCATAGCAAGATCAACTATTCTGGATTTGGCAATATCTTGTTATACCATGCTAATCAAATAGTATATTTGAGGTAGTACCAACTCAGTTCTAGTCCTTAGAGAATGTTGAATGGTCTTCTTGGATCAGAATTTTATGGCTGTTTTTTTTTTTGATAAATAATTTTATGGTTGTTGATGGCTGTAATGGCTTCTTGAAGGAATAAGAGAGAAAATACCTGGAATCACTCACACGGTGACTAGAATCACTCTAGGGCATGGGAATCGCTCACCATATAAGCTGAAGAAAACTCAATAAACTTCATTGCCTTTGTGTAAAACGTCCATACATATTTCTAGACTCTAAACTCATAACAATCCTAGGAGTCAAACTGTTAGACTCATAATAGTCTTAGGAGTCAAACTGTTAGACTCAATAATCCTAGTAGGACTCAAACCAAGCTGTTAAATCCTATTTCCATTCAAAGAAAACTCAATAACTCTAATCCTACTTATGCAATGACTATAAAATTTTAAATATAAACACGCTATAACTAGACAAATTAAACCCTATCAATGGACCCTACAAAAAAATGCAAAATGACAAAAATACCCCCTAATATCCCAAAATACAGAAATACATAAAATTCCAATTTTGATTCTTCAACTTTTGCATCAATATTAGAAAATAATACCCAAATTCAATGTTATCATACTTGATCCAGTAAGCAAATGCAGACAAAATAGTTGGATGGCAAAAAAAAAACATTTAGAAGCATCTGCAATCTAATGTCAATGTGAAAATAACTTGAAGCATGTAGGTTATATGAGATCATAACCACGAAGTTAATGCATATTAGCACTAAGAGAAACATTATACCAAGAGAGGCATAGGTTGTTGATATTTATACATGCTACAAAATAGGAATACTTATCCTCCAGAAGTTACAAGAACCAGCTAGCAAAATTAGTAGAAAAGACTAATAGTAACTATTATTATTAAAATGCAATCAAGAACTGAGCCTCAACTTTTTGGTTACCAACCATGAATACCAGACAGGAAATAGCATTCCTCATCATATATGTAATGATTTTACACAACGCCATTTTTTTATAAGTAATGAAAATTTTATTAATTCAGAGATTCAAGCTTAATACAAGCATTCCTTGGAGAGGCGCAAGTTGCAGCCTCTCCCAAACAAATTACAAAAGGAGTAAATATCAAATTACATCTGAGCTCAAAACAAATGTTCCCTACTTGCCCCTTGCTTGGCTAACCAATCAGCCAATGCATTTGATGATTTCCCCACCCACTATATTCTCACAAACATTTTGTGTCAGCCATTTAAATTTCTTGATTTCATTCTTATCCACCACACAGCTTGCTCTCGGAACCACCCCACCACCACCTTCAAATCCCCTTCAATCAAAAGTTGCTCCATGCCTAATTGTCTTGCAAACTGCAAACCCTTGCAAGGCAGCTAATAATTCTGCCCTAGTAGAATCCCCAATCCCCCAAAGAATCCAAGTAAAGAAATACAACCTATCCAAATTCATTTCTCAAGGCACATCCCATTCCAGAGGGACCTGGGTAGCCTTGACTGCTCCCATCAAAATTCAGCTTCAAAGAACCTCCAGGAGGGAGTACCCAACTTGCTGATACCCTATTCTTTATAGATGAACACCTAGCTACTGTTGGCCAATTCTTCCAAACACCATTAAAGGAAAATGGTGAAATAACTTCAAAGTCTTTAACCAATGTATTACCCTATTCAGCACACTCTCCTTTAATTCTTGACAGTTTCTCTCCTTTTCTCGAAAGATTCTAGCATCCCTTTGTTCCCACACTGTCCAAATCAGAGCTGCCTTGGCACATCTCCACATAAACGTTCCTTTGTTTTGAGGCAAAGAGAAAAAAGAAAATTGCATGCTTACTTCTACTAGCATATTCCGCCTGCACCCAAACAACGAGAAGAGCCAAACCCGTAACTCTACAATAAAAGAGCATGAAAGTAGTATGTGGTAGCAACCCTAACCACGATACCTACAAAGGAAGGGTCTTCACTTTTGTAAGTTATCCAAGGTGATCATTTTCCCATAAAACACTTCCCAACAAAAAGCCATAATCTTAGAAAGAGCAGGCCTACACCAAACTTCCTTAGTAGAGAAAAACTGAAGAGGAGACTGGCAAAAGGGACTTAAAGAAGGAAGCACAAGAGAAAAGTCCATTTAGGTTGAGGAAACCAAACCCGTTTATATGGCTCAGAGGGGTACTATAGAGAAGAGGGGTAGTTTTATCCTTTATTTTTTCCATTGTTGGGCCATGTATTCTATTGTATACTACATCAGCTTGTAAATTCTTCTATTTTCTCTTTCTTGTGAGGGCATTATTGCCATTCATTTATTGATATAAATATTCTTTTTCTAGGTTGGCTTGGGTAAGACCAACTGAACAATTTTGTATCTCCATTGTTCTCTCTTCTCACAACTGCAGTAAGCATCCAGTTCTTCTAACGTCTAGGCCTCCTCCTCCTTCAGCACCAATGCCAGGTTCTCCTCCTTCATCCACCACCATTGTAAGTTCCCCTTCATCTACTGCTCCATTACTTGCACATGTTCCTTTATGTCGTTTCTCCCATATTTCTCGCCCCCTAACTGTCATCACTTTCTTTTTAACCATAGCACCTTATTTGTTATGCAATCCTCTATAGATATACCTTGATCTTACCACCAGGCGGTTGCAGTTAAACATTGGAAAGATGACATGGACTTAAAAATTCAGACCCTGCTAGAAAACGATACTTAGGACCTTGACTGTCCACCCCCCAGATGCATCTATCATTGGCAGTCGTTTGGTTTTTTAAGGAAAGGTAACAAAGTTTTATTAATAAGAGAGGAAGTACATGAGAAGATGCACAAAACAAAGGGGAAACCCCAGGAGATTATACAGGAATGAAACTATCGCTATATAAGACATCCAAATGGGCACCATTCATGGCTCCATTAATACCTATGATTTGCTTCAAAGGAAAAGACCAAACTGGTGTTTGTCCCCAAGTTGGTGCTTCTTATGTAAGTTATTTGGTGAGATTGCTCTTCACCTCTTAGTTTCCTGACATTTTGCTTTCTCTGTTTGGGAGAGGTTTTCTTCTCTTTGGTTGCAGATATGGCGCCCCTTGATAGCTTGGAGGGACCATTTAGCTCTGTTGCTTTTACGTGTTCTAAAAGAAGAGGCAGGATTTTGGGGAGATGCACTAGGGAAGAAATGGTTTGGACACTTTGAGAAAAAAGGAATATAAGACTCTTTGAAGACAAGGAAATAAGTAAGGAAGCTCTAATAGAGGTAATAACCTTAAGAGTGACTCATTGAGTCAAAAACTTAAAGCTCTTTGTAAATTTTAAAGTTGAAGACTTTCTCAATTCGTGGGGCCTCAATTGCTGCTTCATCCTCTAGAAAACAAAGAATAACAGAGGTCTGGCCGCCCCCATGTGCCGGGTGGAAGAAATTGAATTTTCATGTATGGGCAATCCTGGCCCATAGAGTATCGGTGGGGTAATTAGAGAAGAAAATGGAAACATCCTAGCATTGTATTCAGGTCCAGCCGTCCAGTTCAGCAAGCTGGTGGTGAGATCAGAATTATTGGCAGCAGTTTATGGGGTGGAGAAGGCTAAAGAAATGGGGATTGAGAGACTAACCATTGAAGGGGATTCAAAAATGGTTGTGGGCTGGCTGAAAAAGGAGGAAGGGGTAATTTGGCAGCTAAGGAATGAATTCAGGCACTTCAAACAGCTTTCTAGAGATATGCTTATCCAAATAAGATGGATCAGAATATCTGCAAACAGCATGGCAGATGGCTAGCTAAACAAGGAATTCAGAGACAATCCATGTTTTGGGCTCATTTATAAATTTGGGATAGCTTTTTGGGTTTGATGTTTTTTTCACAACCTCTTGTTGTATTATACTTCTACTCTAATTTAAAGAATTAATTTTTCTATTGCTGATCAAAAGAAAGACATCCAACTGGGCACCTATTTTAGCTAAACCATATGCAACAGAGTTTAAATCCCTTGGAATCCAAGTAAAGTTTGCATTTAGCAATTCCAGAGAGTCTCTAGATTCTGTCAAAAAATGGCTCAATCTCCATGGACCACCCTCTTTATCTCTTAGCCATTTTATGGTATTTGCAGAATATCCCGCAATGATTAAATTTTGAAGGCCCAGGGTTCTAGTTATTCCAATTCCGGTGAGAGCCTCCAACACTTCCCCCTTGGTGGAGTTTGTGACAACACCTATTTGACCACTAAAAGTCCAAATAACAATACCCCTTCCATCTCTTACTATACCTCCTATACCAACTTCTCCTAGACTGCTTGACGCGCTCCCATCAAAATTTACAGTCATCCCTCCTTCCCTTCTTATTACTAAATCACTGGGGCCAGCAGGGGGGTGGCTGAGTGGAGGAGAAAAAACTAAGCACTTCTTCTGAGATCATTCACTAAGAGTCCTCTAAATAGATCAGAATTGATGGCCTAAGTAGCAAGGTCTAAGCATGGTATTAATTTGTGTTAGAGGAAATATGTGGTTAATTTGCTGGAGGAAACAGGTTTGTTAGATGCTAAACCAACTGAAACACCTATGGAAACAAATACTAAGTTGAGCAGTGATATGGGTGAAGTGTTTGAAGACCCTGGTAGATACCGGCAACTTGTAGGTAARCTGAACTACCTAACCATTACTCGGCCAGATATTTCATTTGCGGTTAGTGTGGTAAGTCAATTCATGCAGAAACCTCTGGTTCCTCATTGGGATGCAGTTCTAAGAATTGTGAGGTATTTAAAAGGGGTTCCTACTCATGGTTTGATATACAAAAGTGTTGGAAAACTTTAAATAGAAGTATATACTGATGCTAACTGAGCCAGTTCTATTTCTGATAGGAGGTCTACCACAGGCTATTGCACTTTTCTTGGGGCTAATCTGGTGACATAGAAAAGTAAGAAGCAGACAGTCGTGGCGAGAAGCAGTGCAGAAATATAGAGCTATGGCACATACTACTTATGAATTAGTGTGGCTAAGGAACCTTCTACAGGAGATAGGATACAATRTTAACAYTCCAATGAAGCTCTAYYGTGACAATCAGGCTGCAGTTCATATTTCTTCTAATCCGGTGTTTCATGAAAGAACCAAGCACATAGAAGTTGACTGTCACTTTGTGAGAGAGAAGGTGCTGAATGGAGTGATAGACACTACATATGTTAACACAGGGAATCAGTGGGCAGACTTATTTACAAAAGGGTTGAGTCGGGGAAGAGTGGACTACATATGTAACAAGTTGGGATTATATGATATATACTCACCAGCTTTAGGAGGAGTGTTAGTGTAGGGGTATTTCTGTCTTTATACTTATGTTGAGGCTGTAATATTATACTAGAACTAGTGTCTCCTCATTTAAGTAAGGGCACATGTGTCTTTTCCATTATGTTAGTAATATAAAACATGTTTGGCCGAATGGGAGAGGTAATTGTTTTCTCTCATTCAAACCAGACTTTTCTTCTCTCCTTTTCTCCTTTTTTCTCTCTCTTTTTTTCTTCTTCCTTCTTCTCTTTTCTTGGCTGTTATCAGACTAACAGAACTCAAGGGCAGGTCGAATCATAATAAGTTGTCTCCAAGTCATCCACTAAAACAAAGTATTATGCAATGTCTTCTATCTATAGTGAAATTGTTTGGTTCAAGGCTCTGCTTCATGATATGGATGTTGATCATCGCTCATCTATTCCCCCCTCTTTGTGGACATCATGAGTACCATCAAGATCGCTTCCAATCCTATCTTTCATAAGTGCACTAAACATATAGAGGTGGACTACCATTTCATAAGAGATCTCCTTGTTGGCAACATTTCTCTCCCACATGTTTCTTCTAGCTTACAACTTGCTAATCTTTCCACCAAAGTCATGACCAAGGCTAGGCATAACTTTCTTATGGACAAATTGATGCTTGTTCCCCAACATCAGCTTAAGGGGAAAAGTACAGAATAGGGGTAGTTTTGTCCTTTGCTTTTGTCTATTGTTGGGCCATGTATTCTATTGTATACTAATCAGCTAGTACATTCTTGTATTTCCCCTTTCTTGTAAGGACATTAGTGGCCATTCATTTAGTAATATAAATACTCTTTTACTGATGAGTGAAAGACCAGCATAAATTATCACCTAAAGAAACAAAGCCTAGAGACTCCATGCAAGTGAGCAATGAAGGACAGGTGATCAGCACACTTTGTCTAGTGGTTATAGAAGAGACAGCTGCATGAAGGAATCAGGTTCTCCTCAGTCAAACAGTTATTGAGTACTGCTTTCCAGATCACAAATGCCACCTTTAAAAGAATTCTATGGTTCAAGACACCTTGAAACTTGAAAGGGATACCATTCCCACTATCACCCGTCATACCATTTGGACAAGACTTCACTGAAAACAAGCCCAGATGCTTCCATTTCTACACCCTTTTATCAGCCACACCAATTTTAGGTATATGAGACTGGACTTTCAGAAGAAACTCAGTCATCTCCTCCAATCCAAATCTAGCAGATTTCTTCGAAACTTTGAGGTCCAACATGAGAATTAGTAACTTCATAACAGTCTTTTCAAGAGCTTCCTTACATTCAGCCACCTAGAAACAGATAGGAAAGAGACTTCTTAGGGGCCTTTGGTCACACCAAGCATCATACCAGAAGCTAATTCTGGTTCCATCTCCCACTTTGTAATGGATGCCTGCTAACAAAGTATCATGCGATGGGCCTCCAAAATGTCTAGGCAATCACCTAGTCACAACTCAGTGCAATACTTTAACTACACTGATAAGGTATAATTTTTCTTTTAGCTAAAAGGTTAGGTATTATTCGCTAAACCAATAAATTTGAAAAAACAAAATATACGCACTTCAGAATATAAATTAAGAATTAAAGCTGCACCAATAAGAATGTCCAAGTTAGAGCATTATCTGAATACAATAAAAATTAGAATAAATAAAACAAATTCCAAAAATTTTAACAGACAACCCATTTCTGAACGTTTAAAGAGAAACAACGTCAGACACGAGAAACAAGAGGAAGAAATTACCGATATGCCTAACCAAGCGTAGGTTCTTTACCTTTCCATATCTACTCATAGCCTACAAGAAGAAACAAGGCCCATCAAAATCAATTTAAAACTAAACAATAGAAAAGACTAAATGAGGGAGTACCTTCCGCAGCGTGTCTTCAGTTGTGATGTGAGAAAGGTGCCCAACAAACAAAGTACAATAAGGATCTCCAATAACTTTGGAATCCCCAAATGGGTCGTCTGCAAAATCGATGTTGAGTAAGGTTCGATGAAGAAATCGGAGCCATATACGAAAAAATTATACATATGAAATTAAAAAAAAAAAAAACTTTTTATTCTGTTTTAGCGAGAAATTTACAGAGTCCGGCAGATGAACAGAGGAGAGCCCTGTAAATGGCATTGTCGTGAGGAAGAATATCTGTGCCGTCAATACTTCCGGCTTGGATTGGATGGTAGGAATCTGCATAAAAAACTGAGTTTATGTTGCTGGACGCCATTCCTTTGTAGACTCTCGCCTGTGTATTCTGTTTCTCGTATCAATATTTCAATGTACACGGAAATTCGAAGCCCACTCCCACAGTACTATTCCTACGAATGGAGTAGGAATCCAAAACTGCAAACGCCTCTACTGATTTAGGCTTCTGCCAAACATTCTATACACATTCGCCGTTAATTACTTCCGAGGCCCTACGATGTCAGCTGTAGACGTCTGCATATTTAGATGAAGCCGATAAAAACGAGACTAGACGAAGCTTGCTTGAAAAAAGGAAAGGTATAATGCTTAGCTCCGTGTACTTGGATTTTGGAGTAGACAAATGGGATCTTTTTCTCTCCTAGTTTCACAGCCAAATTATAAAGGGTCAATCTTACAGTTTCACGGATTTATTTAAATATTTCCTATAAATTTTCATTGTACTAAAACACAATTTGTGTTTGGCACAGGTTCTTTTCATTAAATAAACGTTTGTATTTGATTTATCTTCAAAAAAAAAAAAAAAAAGTACTTGATAAATCCAGAGTCAATTAATGTTAAACTATTGGGAGAAGCATTAAAATGAATTTTTTCCTAATAGTTGGTGCGCACATAAATCAAAACTCGTTTTTGTGAATATCAATACGTAAAGATGAACATAATAAGAAAAATGTTGATTTGGCGATAACATAACAAGGTTTTAATAAACGCCTATCACAAAACGTGCACAGAACACATGCTTAATGATCTTTTACTAGCAAGTGTTTGTTTTGATATCGAAAAATAGTAATATGATCACCTATATTGTATGGAAAATGTTCTAAGGATATAGGTCCATAACTACTTATTTTAAAGTATCCATTGACATTTTTTTTGTACAAAAAGATAGCATTGACTAAATAGAGTCAAATAGAGTAATTGGTGGTATTTTCATTTTTTATTTTTTTTATTAAATTTATTAAAATGGACATTAGGGTCAAAATTGTCATTTTTCTCTAATGCCATCTAATGAAAGGTCAATTAAGTAAATCCGTTATAAACTAAAGCGGTTTTTAGTAAAATGCAAACTATAGAGTAGATTTTAGTGAATTCAAAAAATTATATAGGGTGTTTTAGTAAATGACCCATTAATAAATTATAAAATCTATCAACCCATTTACCTAATGAACGTTTTGTACGATTTTGTCTCGAAAATCAAGATAAAGTTTGTTTTAGATGTTCTTTTGACAATTCAGCACCACGAAGACTCGAATCACAACATTTATCAACCACACATCGAGAACATCTCTTGTCCTTCAATGTTAATATTCATGGTAGATGTTCCCATTACACAATCGGTGTAATGATAAATAACTCTCACATAAATCAAGAAACATGTTTATGATTTATTAATTGAACGACTCAACCAAACATCATTTTTGGCATTTTATGTTAAACCCCTATATGGTGCTGAGCTAGTGAGGGTGCTCCAAAAGAAAAAAAAAAAGGCAAACACCATAAGGGTAAAATGCAAAAACCTCCCTACAGTTTTTAACAATCATAAAAACCTCCCCTATAGTTTCATTTTTAGCAAAAATCTCCCTTGGATTTTTAAATGACTTGACAAAAACCTTCCTTCCTTCCATCAATGATCCAGACGGAAAATGGTATATCGATGCATCATTTTTTTGAAATACCCATTTTACCCTTTTATAAATTAGTTTGTATATATTTTTATTGAAATACTCTATCGATCTATTATCCTCTTTTCCTCTCCTCTATCCTCTTTTTCTATCCCTTAACTCATATTTTTACTGAAATGCCCTATCGACCTATTATCCTCTTTTCCTCTCCTCCATCCTCTTTTCCTATCCATTAACTCCATCATCTGAGGAGGAGGAACTCAGCTCTTTCGATCTATCATTCAAACATAGATGGAAACATGTTTAATGATATACCATGTTTTTACAAAAGCATTTTTCTTATAAAAAATGTTCAAAACAGCAATTGTTTGTGCTAATGGAATGATGTTTTCAACACAGAATTAATTAATGTCTGTAAAGAGACTGGGCTGAATGGGCCCTAATAGCTGCTTGTGTGATATCCTTTATTTTTATCTTTTATTTTATGTTGATGGGCCTCACTTAATGGGCMTGTTATTTGTTCTTATTTTATTTTCTTTATGTAATTGCCAAGTTGGCCGCCCACTTAAGGGCATACTTGTCATCATTAATTTTTAGAGATTAATAAAATAGGGTTAGAGCAGAAGGGTGAATTATTCGACTTCTTCTTCTCTTACCTCTTCTCTTCGACATACACAGCTCTTGCACTATTATTCAAATCTGATTTGCACTATTAATTACTGATTTTAAACCTGATATTAGAAGACTAATTCACATCTTGGTATAAGAGCGGGTACAGTTCTTCTTTCTTCCTTTTTTTCTTCATTCCTATACACTCTAAAATCAAGAGAGTGTATAGAGAGATAGGTTCTCTATAGTATAGAGAATCACTTGCCTAGTTGGTAGAAGGGTTTGGAGATTTAAGTTATGGCCGAATTTTGCCAAGAAGTGATGTTGTTTTGCTATTGCTCGAAACCCTAGCCAACTAGAGATTTTTGATGTTACCAAGAAAGGTGAAACTTGGGTGTGGCGCTCTATACTTGGAAGGTGTCTTGTGACTGCTAAAGGAGGGTGGTTCAGGTTAGGAAGAGTTTGGATCAATTTGGTTGGTTTGACTTCAAGTAAGTTTGCATAGTTAAAATTTCAGTTCTTTGATTTTCGTTTGATTAATGGAGACATACGAAAGTGAGTTCAAGCAGGTGTCAGTTTCTGGACCTGCTCCAGTAGATTCTGTTTTGACTGGTGTTACCACGATTAAGCTAGATGGGACAACTATCTTGCCTGGGCAGATTCTATAAAATTTTATGTTTGTAGTAGAGGAAAACTCGGGTATCTCACAGGCAAAAAGGTGAAACCCGAAGAGACAGATCATGAATTTGAGAGATGGATGCAAGAGAACTATACCGTTATAGGATGGTTAGTTAACTCTATGCAACCTCATATAAGCCAGCACTCTCTCGAGATGTCTTCTGCTAAGGAGATATGGGACAGTGTAACTAAGACTTATTCACAGAAACTGAAGGTAGCCCGGGCGTACAAATTGAAAAGTGATGTGAAGAACCTGAGACAAAGGGAGAAGAGTGTAGCAATCTACTACTCTATACTAAAATCCCTATGGCAGGAAATTGATGTTATGGAAACTGTGGTATGGGAGAGTAAAAGGGATGCTGAAATGTACAGAAAGTTGGTGGAAACTGTGGTATAGGTGATGCAGCGCGATCCGGGCACTCCTAGCTGGCGGACGCTTGGCTCCTAGCTGGCGACAGACGGTACCTGAGAAGAGAAAGGTGAAGGATTCTCGGGGAGCTCGCCCGGTGGGAATACTCCGATGCTTAAGTTAGAACACTTGAGAGAGTTGTAAAGGGTGCAAAGAGAGCTAAGAGTGCAGATAGCGCTAGATCAGTTAAATTCAAGATTACCTTCGCCCCTTCGACCCTGGGGCCTTTAAATGTAGATGTTCTTGTCAAATCGGGCGTAACCGCCACTAGCCCTCTGTCGTAGCCGTTATTTGCCAAGGCTGCACAGGTAATTGTTGTAGAGTACTGCCCAATCGGATGAGAAACACGACCCGGAAAGGACATACATGCCACCACCTATCGAGAGACATTGGTGCAGTCTGCTAGGCTAGCAGGGATTGCACCGTCAGTCAGGAGACGTGGTGTAGTCTGACGGGTACGGTCTCGCCAGATAAGAAGCTTCTTGAGAACGTTGCATTGCTTAACAGCGAGCTGCCTTGTAGCGAGCTGCCCTGTAGTAAGCTATCTCATAGCGAGCTGCCCTGTAGTAAGCTATCTCATAGCGAGCTGCTTTGTAGCGAGCTCGTGGATGTGTCCCGAGGTGATTCCGCCTGAGGTTGCCTTTGGGGCAATCTTCTTGCCTAAGTATTGGAGCGAGTTGATTCTCTCAGCTCGTGAGCTGGGATAGACTTGGCTTGGAGTATTCCTTTTCCACATATCGGGGTCCTTGAGCTTGCGGAGTAGCGAGCTCATTCCGTGGTGAGCTATAATGTAGTAAGCTATCTTGCGAGGACTTTACCGAACTCGTTACTCAGTTGTAGCCAAGCTGTCACGCTGAGCTGTTACTTATGCTGAGTCGTGTCCACGTGTCGCCTTCTTAGGAGGTCGGGTCAATCACCCTCCATCAATTGCCCCCACTCTTTGGGCTAAGGGTTCTACCCTAGCGTGAGGAGTTCATGGAGTGTGACAGGTGGATTTGACCCAAAATTCAAACTCGATTGACCGATCACATTAAATACACACGCGGATGTTAGGTGATTTTTGGACTTTTCGAATGCCAAAAAGCGCGCCAAAACGGCTCTCACTTCAGGAAGTCGTGCAACCGGCATTACCTTAATCATGGAAGATGTGCAGCCAGTCACATTTTGGTTTCAGAAGACGTACGGTCAGCTTAACTGCGAACCGTCAGATTTGCCTTAATCTGAGCCGTCGGTTTGTGGGCACAGTGGCTATAAATAGGAGAGCCCCAGGCCTCATTTCCTTTATGCCAACTTGCCTTGCCTTCGAACTTTGAGGTCGCGCCTTCACCTAGCTGCTCGAGCTCTTCTTCTGTTCACACCGTCTTTTCGGTTCAGCTTTTTCTTGGTGAGTCTTATCACTTTGTCAGCAATGTCTGGGTACCCATACAATGTCTTTCCCTAGGGTGGTAACCAAGATGATGCCCCTTTGAGCTCAGGGAGAGCTTGGGGGCAGGCTTCGGAGGCTCGGGAGGCCTCCGGCGAAATGGCTTCCACTTCCTAGGGTAGGGAGCCGGACAGCTTTGGTCCCTCCTCCATGTCGATGGAGAGACTCGGGACCTTGGTCCTTCAACTCAACCTTCCCAGAAACCTCATCTATAGTCTCCCGTCTAGAGACTATCCTTGGGAACACGGTCACGATGAGATCGTGATCTTCCAGGAACAGCTCATCGCTGGCCTTCGTCTTCCTCTACATCCTTTGATAGTGGAGGTTTTAAACAATTTTAACATTACCATAGACCAGCTTCACCCCAACTCAATCCGAAATGTAGTTGGGACAATTTCTTTATTTTATGATTATTGTCTTCCTCTTGACCTTGACATCTTCTCCACCATCCTTTTCTATCAAGAATGCTTCCCTTGGAGCGCCTCCAGAAAGGTGTTCCTATTATTTTTCTCCCCGTCCTGGCTTCAAACTCCTACATGAGCTGCCGAACAGGATCCCCGCCTGGAAGCGGAATTATTTTGTAGTTCGCAACCCCGAAGGGTAGCCCTTCCCAACCCACTAG